TACCTAATTTTATAGACTCTGTTTAATAAAAAAATATTAAAAAATACTTAGCTATCTAGTTAGTCTTAGAACTACTAGAAAGTTTTAATAAACTTAGAGTATATTACTATTAGTACTAAGGCTTCTAACTAATACTCTACTTATTTATACAACTTCTAAGCTTAGGTAGTAATTAAGAACTATTAAGATAATATAGTAGTAATAGAAATACTAGTACTTAATAGCTTTATAGTACGTATTCTCTAATAACTATAATATAATAACTATTTCTCTAAGTATTAATAAGACTTATAGTAGTCTATTATATTTACTATCTAGTAAATAGTATCTTTCTATAGAAGATAAGCTATAAATACTATATTCTTTTTATTTTATATCTTAAAACTTTTATAAAGTATCTTAGCTAAGATATTATATTACTAATATATAGCCTTCTTAATAGCTAGAGATAGTAGTAGTATTATTTTTAGCTTTACTATATATATAAAGTTATAAATAAGAATAGCGTAAGTATTCTAGAGCTTAGTACTAGTAAGTCTTATAATAGAGTAGTATTACTATCTTATTATAGTAAGTAAGAAACTAATATTATGCCTACTAAAGAGCTTATATATTTTACTAATAAGCTTTTAGAAAGTAAGGCTAAAGAAAAGAATAATAAAAGGCCTTATACTAGTTATATATATAATAAAGATAATAAAAATAATAAGAATAATAAAAATAGAAATAATAGAAATATTAATAGGCCTAGCGTATAGCTCTAAAGTACTAGTAAAGTAGTACTATAAAGTACTTATAATAGCCTTTAGTATAGCTAGAATAGAGTAGTTTATAGTAGCTTCTATAATAGCTTCTAAAATAATAATCTTAAGAGAACTTATAGAAGTAGTAATAGTAATACATTTAAGAGAAAAGTAATTAATTAATAATAAAAAACTTAATTAAGCTTTAGTAAGTAAAGTAATATAACTAGTAATAAAATTAGCTTTAGATAGACTTACTAACGCTAGAAAAACTTATAAAAAAGTAGTAATATAGTTAAAAGCTTATTTAGTTAGTATAGCTTTAGTATTAGATTTAAGCTACTATTTATATCTTTAATAAGTTTTTAAATCTCTAATTTACTATAAACTATAGAATAAGAATAAAGATAGAGATAGAAATAGAAATAGAGAATAAAAAGTATATATATAAAAGTATAATTTTATAAGCTAAGATTTTAGTATTTTATTACTTTATAATTTATAGCTTAGTTAGTTATAAGCTATTAAGAATATATAATTATATTATAATTCTTTCTACTATAAATAGACATTAGTATTTATAAAATAGTTACTTTACTACTTTAAATTTTAAAAGCTTTAACTACTACGCTAGAAGTAGTAGTACTAAGAACTTAAGCCTTAGTCTACTTAACGCCTACATCTTTAAACGTAGAATTTTAACTTTTTTAGAAATATATCTTTTTATATACTAGTAATAAACTTTACTCTTTTTAGACTAGTTTATGCTATAGAATTAGTTTACTAATAAATATAGTATACTTAATAAAAGTGTATTTATTTTAATTACTTATATTAATATAATTAGCAAGATATATATATATAAGCTTATTATAATAATAGATATAGTAATAGTTATTTAATAACCTTATAATATAGGTGTAAGAAATGTAACTTACTTTATGTTAATTTACTTACTATGTACCTCTATCTTAAGAGATCCCCGCTACGCCTCGACGGCACTGGCTTTTGTTGCGAGACAGAGGACGCAGATCATGTTGTTGACATGTCGTGTTTGAGTAATAGATTGCGCGAATCGCGAATGCAAAGCTAGAGAAGGGCTTTCAACAGTAACGCAGCTACTATAGTCGCCCGAAGGCATGGGATCCATGGGAGGGCAGGAGAAATTGTTGGGAAGCGGCAGTATGACTCTTACCCTACAGCCTACGTGCTCGTTTTCTGGCCTGGCGTGACGTCGACATGTGAATGCACGTCTTCGTTCGGCATCCCTTGGTTCCGATAAGGGTAAATGTCGAGTCTGGCACATGTTTGGCGCCGCAGATAGTTGTGGGTCAGGGATCACGGCGATACAGCTGCCCGTGGCGCGCGTGCGATAGGATGGGCGAGTGCGGTGCGGGCGTAGGGAGCTGCCGCATCGAGCAGCGTGGTGGTGTATAGGCAACCGAGTGCGAAGGTGCTGCGCTGAGCGCTGAGCGGCTGAACAAGGAGCGGGCGCCATGATGGTGCCAGGCAGTCCTACGATTCGCCATACGGGGTTTCGGTGGTGGGCCTAGGAACTGTGTGGCCCTGCGGACCGTTTTCCAGAGGGGCTAACTCAATTTTTTTTGTTGCGCTGGGTACTCTCAGCGACCACGACGACGCCTGAGTCTGACAGCATTGCAGTGCAGCCAGCCAGCCCTGACCACCTTACCCCAACCCGGCTTCTGCCCTAGCCCTATCTATCGCATCCGCCCTCCCATACAGACCTGACCCGTCCGTCTTATATCTCGACGCCGCCCCCTCCCCTCGTCCCATCATGTCCGCTCCCCACGACACGCCCGCCCACAGCACCCACCCCATCAACACCACCACGTCCGCCGACCCCCCACTCAAGGGCGACGCAACCGCCGCGCACCCTCCCCCGCAGAAGCCCGACCCAACTCTCGAGTCCAACAGCCATGGCCCCTCCCAAGGCGGACAGTCCACCCCCCGTCCCTCCGCCGCCGCCGAACTCGCCCGTCTTAAAAGCACGCTGAAGGCCTCGCTCCGCCAGTTCAAAGACTTCCCCGAGCCCGGCATCCTCTTCGAAGACATCCTGCCCATCTTCGCCGACCCCGCGCTCCACGAGGGACTGCTGCGCGGTCTCGAGTTGTCCATTGAGAAGCAATTCGGTGCGACAGGCGCCAAGCCAGACGTCGTTGTCGGACTCGATGCGCGTGGCTTCCTGTTCGGGCCCAGCCTTGCGCTGAGGCTGGGCGCGAGTTTTGTGCCTGTCAGGAAGAGGGGCAAGCTGCCGGGTCCGTGTGAGACGGCGGAATACAAGAAGGAGTACGGCAGCGATTTCTTCCAGATGCAGGAGGGCGCTGTCAAGAGCGGGCAGAACGTGCTTATTGTGGATGATATTATTGCGACTGGTAAGTGATATCGTTCGCATCAGAGACGAGACGAGATGCTAACAAGATACAGGTGGCTCCGCAGCCGCAGCTGGTTCTCTGGTGAAGAAGCTGGGCGGAACTATCATGGGATACCTTTTCATTCTCGAACTCGATTTCCTCAAGGGCCGCGACCAGCTCGACGCGCCTGTACACACATTGCTTTCGGGCCAGGAGGAGAAGATGGAGCAGTAGGGGTGTAATACTGGGACGGCTGGTAATCTTCCGGCTTCAAATCTCGACTCGATACCGTAAACAATACACATCATAGATGGGGCATAGGAATGCATATGGGCGGCGTTGGTGGTTTGTATAGTCACGACATGGCGCGATGAGAGATGCGCGCGAGGATATCACGATAAATACGTCAAAAGTCTCGTTACTCGTATACGCACCTTCAAATGGTCATTTCCACACTATATCATTTCCACCGAACTAAGCCCTGCGCCCTGCGCAACACGACAGCGGCGCCATACCCTCTTTCCCCGTCGCAAAAGTCGCCGTCCCCAAAATTTCCGCCCTCATTACCCCTCCATCAACAAAAACATCCCTGCAAGCTGCTGACACGCAGCGCCCGCCCAAGAGGGAAAGTGGGGTAGCTTCCGATGCCGCTCCCAAGCCCCATCTTATGTCACGGGTATAGGGCGGACGCGCTCAATTAGGTGTCCACCTAGCCCGATGATAGCCTCGATTTACCTGACGTAGATAAACGGTCCCATGCTGCTGATACGCACGGCGGTACCAAGAGCTCTGCGTGCTTCACGACCTCTTACCACTACAACCACGTATCTTACGCGACCTGCTATCACAACTTCACCCTACAAAGCAATTGACATCAAAGGAATACGAAAGATGTCTGATATCAAGAAGATTCACACCGCTAACGCGTGTCCTCGTACGTTCCAATTGATAGCGGAGATGCGGAAGGAGAGCTTGCTAACAGAGACACAGCTGCTGGACCCTACGTGCGTCTCTCCTCTAGGGCTCTCCCGATCCCATCGCATCCGAACATCCACGTTAACGTCACCGTCTAGACACAAGCCATCGTCGCAGGCCCCAATGTCTTCGTCTCGGGCCAGATCCCCGCCGATACCAAGGGCAACTTGATCGAGGGCAGCATCGCGGACAAGACCAAGATGTGCTGCGAGAACATCAAGGGTATCCTCACCGAGGCTGGTGTTGCTCTGGACAGGATTGTCAAGGTGCGTTCGGAAATATACGCGGAAGAACAGCCGATAGAGTGCTGACTACGACTTCAGGTCAACGTCTTCCTCGACGACATGGCCAACTTCGCCGAGATGAACGGCATGTACGAGCAGTACTTCTCCCACAAGCCTGCGCGCAGCTGTGTTGCCGTTAAGCAGCTGCCCAAGGGTGTACCGGTCGAGATTGAGTGCATTGCGTATACTGGTATGAGCTCGAAGCTTTGAGGCGTGGAGCTGATGTTGATGATGCATAGGTTGAACGACGATTCGGTGGAGCGAGGCTGCTTTGGAATACCGTGGATAAGTTAGGAAGACTACAAGACACATGTTCAATATGAAGCACATTATTGCTCAACTCATCTTGATCACCGAAGAGCCGACCCGTTGCCACCCTCAAAATTACATGCCAGACGGCTTTCTCCTGCTGAGCCGACACGAACTTGGATGGCTTGGGAAGGCTGAATCTTAGCGCCGCCACAAAACACCATGCTAATGTATCACGCTCAGCCTCACTGCACTGCCCCGCATTGGCGTCGTTGTCACTACAACATGTTTCCCTTCCTCGCCCAAAGGCAACAATCATTAAACATTTGATCCCAATTCTTCTAGCTTATTTCCCAAGATTCTATACTAACGGTAACATGCGCCTTTTGCATGCCTCTGGCGACGACTTCGAACTCGTTGAGTTTGTTCGCTACACGCCAACATACGCAATATTATCACATACCTGGGGCGCCGACGAGGATGAAGTCACATTCAAAGACATATACAAGGGCAAGGGCAAGGGCAAAAAGAAGCCCGGCTACGCCAAACTCCAGTTCTGCGCCGCGCAGGCCGCTAAAGACAAGCTCGAATTCTTCTGGGTTGATACATGCTGCATAGATAAGAGCAGTAGCGCGGAATTGGCCGAAGCCATTAATTCGATGTTCAAGTGGTATCGCGATTCGACAGCATGCTACGTATATCTCTCTGATGTGCCCAGCACCGGCAGGCCGTATTCGCAGAGCAACAAGCAGCCATCTTTCAAGGGTAACCGATGGTTCACACGTGGATGGACGCTTCAGGAGCTTCTAGCACCAAGGAATGTTGTCTTCTTCTCGATAGACGGCACGAGAATCGGAGATAAGACTTCCCTTGCAAAAGAAATTGCAAGTGAGACGAATATCCCCGTAGCTGCATTGGAGAATGGCCCGAGCTTCATGCTGAAGTACCCTATCGAAGAGCGCATGCGTTGGGCAAGACATCGTGGCACCAAACGGGAAGAAGATGCCGCGTACTGCCTCCTTGGCATATTCGAAGTACAAATGCCGCTTATATATGGCGAAGGCAGAGCAAAAGCTTTTGGTCGCCTTCGAAAGGAGATAGAAGATGGCAGGCATGACTGGATTGATAATCTCTTGCATCGATACGGGCTCCCACCGTTACAGGTAAGCATGTGTATCGAGAACTGTCGTTCAGCTTGAGACTTAACTGTACTCCCAGTTCCCTCGGGGTTATATACACCATGGAAATGCCGAGATTGTGAAGACTATGATTCTTACCTTTGCGATCATCGTCTTAAGGTACACGTATAGCCTTCCGCTGACGACATATACTCGGGTCTGCGCTGTCGTTGCCACACCATGCTATCTCTATGCCTGTACCCGATTGAACAGGGCAGAAGGAATTCTCATTTTCTCCCTAGTAGTGGGCGTCTGCTACATATCTGGCAAGCTCGTCTGTTTGCAGGAAGAGCTGCAGAGACTGAACGATATCGTATTCGACAACGCGATGATGCAAGGTATAGATCAACAAACTATACACAGGCGAGAGATCATGCGACGCATTGATAGAAAAGCTACGTAGATCACTACAATTCATGGTTTACTCATTACAGGGGGAGTGGATGAAGCTCAACAGTGGCAATAAGTCTGCAGTATGTGCAAGTTGCTCACAAGCGGAAAATTGTTATTTATACTTAATAGAAGCTGATTTGAGGAAACTGGGAGATTGTCTATACTATAATCGGGAAACCGGGAATGACTACTCTCCTGCTGCCGAGGCGATCAACTCGTTTAGGATCAACCCTTCTGGGCGACAAGCCCCGCGTCGTCAACCGTCTATCCAGAATTGACTATATAATGTTTACAATTGGCCGTCAAGTCAGCGGGAAATTCCTGCAAAGTGCCCAAGGATCTTGGTATCGGGGAGTATGTCTGGGGTAAATTTCCGGGTAAAGCTACGTGACGTACATTTCCGCTTCGGGAACTGATGCACAGCAACCACTATGGGATAAGACAGAACATCCATAATTGCTGTCGCGGTTTGAGAGTGTATAGAAAGCTTTCATGACCCCTAACAGCAACGTATTACTGTAGATATGCGATCTCTGGTCTCATCGGTTGCTGCTCTGCAACTCGCACTCCAGCATGTATCTGCAACAGTAGGCGTCCTCGATATCGACAACCTACTGCAACCAGATCTGCAACAAAGCTTACACAAGCCCAGCGAAGATCATTCTTATGCGCCATGGTCTCACAAACCGTACTGCATGACTAGCAGCTATCTCCCCACCCTCGGCCAAAAGTACTGCGTCTACACATCCAACACGACGGGCCCACACGGCCTCTCCCTGATCTTTCCTCCAAAATCCGCCCATCTAGCGTCGGAATATCTCGATGACAACCCGCTCGATAATTTCCTCACACAAAAGGATGCTGAGCGCCTCTACTTCGGCGGTCAGCCATGGAAAATCGTCGATATACCCGGAAAGGCGAAAGGTGTAGTAGCTACGCGGAGGATCAAGATGTACGAGACGTTCATGGTTGATCAGGCCGCTGTAGTTGTGGATATGGGGGCGGAGAAAGCGTTGAGTGAGGCTGAGAATAAGAAGCTGATGAAGAAGGCTGTGGATCAACTGCTCGTGCCGGCGATGATTAGGGATATGAGTTCTGCGCATGCGGGGAAGAACCATGATGCTGAGAATGATGGAGGTGAAGAAGAGGAAGGAAGCTTAGAAGAAGCCATCATGAAGACGAATGCGTATGGTAGTACGGTTGCAGAGGTTGGCTCGAGGGCGTTGTATCCGCTGATCTCGGTAGGTCGCGACGCAGTCTCAACAGCAACATGAGTGTCACTGACCGCACCAGCGCATCAATCATGCATGTAACCCAAACTCTTTCGTCCTCTTTTCCCGCGCAGGTGTCTCAATGGCCATAAAAGCCTATCGTGACATTGAGCCCGGCGAAGAGATTACCGTCTCCTGTAATCTCCACCCACTTCCTTCCTGTTCTTGTGCTAACGCCACTTAGACCTCCTCTTGGGCATCCCATTCCAGAAACGCCAGTCTCTGATAAAACGCTGGGGGTTCAAATGCACATGCAGCCTGTGTAGCCTCCCCACTGACGAACGCCAAGCCTCCGATCTTCGCCGCACAATGATCGCGCAAGCCGAGGAGAAGATTATGGAGCTGGCGAAGGCCTACAAACTCGATGAAGCTATAGCTCTCGCGGAGGAGTCCGTTGAACTGATCAAAGACGAAGGAGTCTGGTCGATGTTGACCGATGAGTATGCCATGTTAGCTATGCTGTGGTTGGAGAAGGGCGATAGGGAAAAGGCGGAAGCGTATGGTGAGAAGACGCATAGGCTGTTGTCTGATCTGGGATTCTTGGGTATTGGAGAAGATAGGGAGGCGTGGAAATTGGAGACGCTGTTGAAGAACATCGGAGGTTTAGGAGGGATGGGTCAGCTTTGGAAGAAGGGCCCTTTGAGAGGGTAAGTTGGACAGCAAACGGAATAGAATGGTTGTTTGGAATCTAGGTGTTAAGTAGAATGATAAGAGGGAGTGTTCTTGGTGTCTGGACCTGAGAAAACTAAACACTTCCGTGCTTCCTTCGGTAGTGACCTGTCGTGCCGATCGGTCCTGATCCACCCTTCTCGACCCAGCTATCCACGCCACCTAGTCTTCCTTGCGTGGGTGGCACCGGGTTCTCGCCGCGTTCCACCATGGGATGATGGAGGCCTACCTTCTGCGACAAAGCGACATGTATCTCATCTGGCGACTTGTTTGCCCATGCTCTCGTGCTCAGATACGAAAGGGGATACAGCGGCATGTTTTCTTCACGACCCATGAAGTCATTGACAAGAGGTGCAACGCGTGACATGATAATGTCAAGGTCTTGGCGGATTTGCTGGCAGAAGGCATCGAGTGGCAGGTCATTGACGTCGTGTCCGAAAGGGTCTTCGATCTCACGGCCGATGAAAGCGATACCCAGGATGATGTACGCTGCAACCACACATGCAGGAATGGTGATCCATCCTAAGCTGTTGTAGCATTGGAAGGGCAGCAACAGTATGTACAGCCATGTAACTTGGGATATGGCGATGGAGTAAGCAAGCGGAAGCGGTGTGTTCAGGATTCTCTCCGTGCCACACGACACTTCGTCCATGATTGTCAGCGAGTCCAAAGTCTGGGTTTGATAGATGCTGTAGTCTCTCAACGTGCCGTTGTCGTAAAGAACTTTCATGTACGCAGAGAGGTGAGATAAAATCTCAAGTGGTAGGTCACCGAGAGGCACGCGCGATTGCTTGACGTGTTTGCGTGGGTTGGGCGTAGCCATGGGCATGCCGAGTAACTGACAAGTCCGCCTGAAAGCGCTCGGAGGTTCGGGCGCAGGCATATCCGCTGCTTGCGCAAAGGTATCCAGATGACCGACCAGGTGCTTCAGATCCTCGTAATGCGTTCCTGGCTCGAACCGCAATTTATGTTTCACTGCGACAGCGAAAGCCACAATCAGGTTCAGGCAGCTGACCTTGCCGAGCAGATCTTGCTTCCCCACCCCTGCATCAGCACCATGCCTCTCTTCAGCGTGTATCCATATCAGACGAGCCAAGATATGCGATGCGAGTCGAAGGCGCCCCCAAAGCTGTCGACCTTGGAAGTAGCGGTCCATCGAGGTAGAACTGCGGACGCTGAGGGCCAGACTGACGACAAAGCCTAGTACGGTGATAAAGACTTGGTCGGTTCCAACTGCGTCATGTTAGAATAGGGCTTTGTAGTACAGGAAGAAGAGAATATGGCTTACGGTCATATACAAGCTTCGAGATGCAAGTAACGGCGGTGGCCCACCCGCCTACCAGCAAAACGGGTATAACAAGCTTAGGTGTGATGCTGCCGTGAAGTCGCAGCATCATCGGAAACTTCGAGTGATGGCTGAGGTCGCGCGGCCCCATCTACCCTCCTTAGCAAGTTGCGCGTCCATATACTGCTTGATCCTCTGCAGGTAACATACGAAGTATCCATCGCCAGACGATCTCGGCATGGCTCTTCACTCGTATGGATAGGAGAGATAGAAATCGCGGCGATGTGTGATTAGACGAGTGTCGAGGAAGCTTAGGTGAGATAGGATAGGATCTGTGTGGGAGTGTAGCGACATGGCTGTGCGATCGTTTCGACGACGTTGTGGCAGTCATCTGTAGGAGTAGCAGGTACAATGTGTGACGCAAAGCTACTTGCCCTTTCCCTCTGTTGCATGAAGGTCGCGCCTACCTGCAGATGAAGTAAGTTCGATGGCATCGGCGTCTTTTTCGAAGTCTGCAAGAAACATTCGTCGCTCGCACAGAAGCAGACACGTCATGTCATAGGTGGTGATGCGGCCGGTAATGTATGTATGAGTCTGTCCTGGTTGCGGGCCTTCATCTTCTCAGTGTCGATTGGCAGACGTCGTACAATAGCGGAACCATACCCGCGACTGCTGCTAGCATGGCATACGCGCAGCGAGAGAGCGAGGAAGTTGTGAGAGGCGTCGCTGGTGTGATGAGGCATCACGCGTTCCGATTGAGGCCCCACTTAATGACGTCACGCGCTCCGAAGCTCGCGTCAAACTTCACGCGGACGAACCTCAACTACCCAGATGCTACTCACTACGCGCACCACATCTTCACGATACTCTTACTTCCAACGGAATCGCAGCAAGTGGATTCACAACTGCGATTGATGCTCATGATCCGTAACGAGCCGGCGCGGCACAGTCTCGTTATGTACAGCCAGACAAATCGGCCGTTAGCCTCAAAAGTTGTATTGCGTCACTGATATTAGGCATAGGACCTAGCCAAAGCGCCCAAATCTGCAGGGACGAAGGATCGATTTTTCAAAACTATCAAGCCCTCTTTACCACCCGCTCCAAAGGAGAACGCTGTGCACCAAACCTGGTTGCGACGAGCGGAAAACTGAACTCACAAAGGGACAACCACACATACCATGAGAGAAGCAAAGCAAATATTACCGCAGTGAGCATACCATACGCCTTCCCTCACCTGAGTAAATGCGAAATCACGAACCGAATCAACACCGCGCCTCAAAGGTCACTGCGTCTGGGTCCTCCGGGCGCGGCTTTTCTGCGGCTCTTCTACATCGGACGCGTCCTCGGAACTGTAGCGAGTACGCTTGCGACTAGTTGCCGGCGTAGGCGCCACTACGATGGTCAGTGAAGTTCATGGTGCCTGATAATAGACCTACAAATCTGCTTTTTCTTCCCGGGCTTCTTGACGAGCCGATCTTCGCGCTTTCGGCCAGCAGTAAGGTCTTTCTGACGCTCGTCGTTCTGTTGGCGGTTGCTCGAGCTGATCTGGAGAAGAGTATCCGGGCATAACACATACTCCTCGACACATCCTCCACGCAACAGCTTGTCGACACGGCTCTTGTAGGACTTCAACACTACGACAAGTTTCGAGATACGCTCCTCGAACGTGAGCTTCCGTGATTTCTCGCAGCGATCGATCATGACAGGATCCAGGATCGAAACGAACCCTGCGCCTTCTCGATAGATGCGTTCAGTTGTTTCCTTGTTCATGTTAGCGCCGGTAATTGCATATGCTATAGCGAAACTGACCAAGATATCCCAGCAGAGACGCTCTTTCACCCAGGGTTTGTATACTGTATTGGTAGCGATCTTCTGCTTGGGTTTTGTCTCGCCGGCGTTTCCAGCCCTGTCTTCGCCCGATTCTCCTACACTCTCTGCCAGCCAGCGTTTCTTGAGCATGGGGCTCGACATCTTGTCCTGGATGTCACTGGTGTCTTGAATGGCTGTGAAGAGCTTACGAACAACTGCTATCCTTTCTTCTTTGGTGTTTGGGAGGCTCTCATCCTCACGAGGCGGCCAGTCCAGTCCTCGAGCTTTCTGGCGGGCTTCAGTGACTTCGGTGAAGTACAGGCCGAACGAATTCAGTGGCGGTGCTTGTCGCTTGGTCTTCTTCGCATTCACGTTGGGCTTCATCTCTGTCTTGTGAACTGAATCACGGTGCTTAGCTCCGTCCACCGTAGCGGGGGGTTCTTCTTGCTCTTCGATTTCCAAAATCCTACTCTTAGTCTTCGTCTCTGCCTTTCTGGACTGAACTGGACTATGGACCAGGGGCGCCTCTTCGGACTGCCGACTCGCCCTAGCTCGCGGAACATACTCTTTCCAACGGCGATCGCCGTTATTGCAGTGGCCAGCAGGAGATGCGTCTTCGAGCTGCGATTGGCAGAGTGTTGAGGCCATCAAGACTGCACCTTCGGGCGAAGCGGGAAGGGATCGTGGAAGCCCTGTAATAGGACCAGCATCATATAAATTCTTGAAAGCAGACACTTGGTCGTTGTCGTCGAATGGCCAGGCCTCGCTGCCCCAATGAGTTGGGTATGATTGACGATGGAATGGTCCGTACGTTGTCGCGATAGTGTCAGTCTGACCATACCACATCGGAGGCGGGCAGATAATGTATTCTGATGAGCCTTGGAAATACTGGGGTCTCTGATGCTGACGGTTTAGAGCGACCTGCGACGCTTCCCACTCATGGACATGATGGTCTGGAGGCATCATCCGCGCATCGCCTTGATCAGTGCCGCACATGTCCCATTCGCCTTGATCGTGGGGGTGATAAACACTTGAAGATTGGCTGAATGGGGCAATATCGGTCTGCGATGATGTTGTCACGGAGGACGAAGCGGTTGAAGGAAGCATTTCGACAGCGATGTAAGTGGTGGCCAGTAGTGAATTGGGTCGGCGATATCAATATCGGACTTGTTCACGATGTAGAAATACAGGATTTAATCAAAAAGTGCGTATATAGAAGTAGTTGTGTTGTCTTATTTGCGACTACCCGCTGACTAGTACTGGTCGGGTGGCGCTCTGACCAGTGTGATGTAAGAAGAAGGTACACTGAGCACGACCGTGGCAATGACGAGCACCACATCGCTGCGTCCGAAGAGCTATCCATAACTGTATTGAGATAGAGACACTGCGGAAGCTCAATGCATTGACAGCTTCAAGTATCTTCACACGGATCTCCAACCTGCTATACCTAGGTATGTATTGGTCCAGCACGGCGACGGTCTGGAGAGAAGATCACGTGGGAGCGAAGGCTCTTAACTCCGTACTTGAGAAATCGGTCGTCCCTGACTTCTCCGCAAATGGCCACCTGGGCACTGACGTAAAGTCACGTGGGAAATTTCCAATTAACGATGTTGTTCGATGTGACAATGTCAAAATGATCACATTGATAGCTCTTAGCTTGGTAACGACCGAGCTCTAGGGTATACTGTAGATCGCACTGCTTCGGAACCATATTCGCCTTACAACCACCGCCGGACATACTTGCCATGATCTTACTGCTACTACACGATGTACATTGGGCGCTCTGCTAAGGCCTCTCATCCGTTGGTCCGATCGCTACCCGGAGTTTGAGTGGCAGTTCTGGTGCCCAAGGAGCTACCTGGCCGGTGACCGTCCTCGTACTGGAACTTCTCAAAACTACTTCCATCCCGAGAATGCCCACGTTCATGATAGCGCTTAGCGGGTGGTTCCATCTTGTAACCTACGTCCCCTTCGGCCGGACGCTTCACGGGCGCTGCTGATCCACCAGATGGCTTTTGACGTGGACTAAACGTACCCGACTGGCCACCCGTAGCCATATAGTTGTTGAACAGCGACGGCAACATGCGTACATGCTTCAAGATCTGTTCCTGCTCCTGAGGTGTCGGATGCCTAAGCCCCTGCGGATACGGATGAATCTGAGTCTGCACTATACGCTGCTGGTCCGACATAGTCGACCACTCTTCCTCGAACCGCGGTAGATGGCGGAGGGACGTCAGCGGCAAGGCGACGTACTTGGCAATATCCCTCCCCAACATGACGTTATCAGCCGCGACTTTCGAGTGCCAGAACAGCCGCGCGAGGTAATGGATCCGCTGTGGAAAAGTAAAATCCATATCCTCCGCGTTCAGCGACTCAAACTCTTCGCATCGACGGAACGGCAAGCCAGCGACACCCATTTTGTGGATACGCATAGCGTTGCTGACGATGATATGTGCAGTCGCCTCGATGTCTCTGGGATCAGCCCATGTACCCGTTTTGGAGAACTTGACCGCGTAGGGATACACATCTGCGACTGTGTCCCAGAGGTTGGAGAGGTTGACAAGACCGAAACAGATCTTCTTGACATAATACGATTTCTCCGCTTCGTTTTGTGGTACAGCGTAGGCGCCAGTCGACGGTCGCCATATGATTTCTTCTAGGTAAGACGCGACAGCCGCACCGGTGGGTAATTCGAGTTCGTTGAACGACGAGATCGAGTAGGGTTGTAGTAGTGGTCTTGATGGGCTGGGTACGGGACACTGGTTATGCATCTGATCGAGGTCGATATCGAGTTGGGGTAGCCAGGAGTTAGGTACCGCGGACGTATCGGTCAAGAGATTTTGCTTGTAATCTTCTCGATAGCGGGTATACGGGGTTGCGATCGGGCGTTGGGGTGGGCCCGGGTTGAACGGGTGAGAGTCTGATAGGGTAGCCCAGGGTGGGTAGCCTGCCTGTGATAAAGCTTGAGAGTATCGACGAGCGTCCATAGGTTGGGAAAAACCAGTGGGCTGTCTGTTAGACAGTGTTGGTGTGACCCAGCCTTCCTGCTGTTATGTTAGTCGAAGCATTTTTTACACTGATAATGCAGATACTTACAGCCTTTGGTGCCTGATTTACCAAGCTAAGACTCGTGTTGGGAAATGTTGGTTGACCCATAGGCGAGAACACGCTGTTCCTTGACGTTTGAGCCCCATTTGGTTGGACGGTAGGGCTGTATGCGAACTGCCTAACGTTAGTTGCTATAATATCTGGTACATAAGGAGCGAAAGCTTACCACGTCATCGGCTGAGACGTTCTGGTCACGCTGGGAGCCCGGGCGACTGCCGCTGAAGTCATTGTGGCCTTGCGCCATGACAGAGTGCGATCTTGCGTTCAAGCGCGATACGTCACCTCGATCACCGGGTACCTGCGTGGGCTCTTTCTTGTTGTTACGCGGACCGACCATTTCGAGTGTCTTGGAATAGTTGAGCGGGTGTTGTCTTGAAGAGGTCTTCCCATGTCACGATGCGATATATCATTGCTCCACGCTATACGCCAAGGCTCGTGCCTAGACGCACGGGGTAATTCGGACAGAGATGAGTTAGCGTCATATCAAGTGTCTGCTACGGCTTCACGCGCTCAGTGAGCATGATTGCGTGATATCGTAGTACGTCACCGGTTTTGGGGAGTTGGGATGATGAAAGTACGGGGTTCCATTATGATTGTGACTCTCGTTCTTCGAGAGGACCTTATCCTGTGGTAGAGTAGAGTAGAGTATGAAATTTTGAAGCCATCGAGTCGTGAGTGGTTGATTTCGTCAGCGTGATGCCATGGTAGGACTTGAGTTAAAGTAAAGCCACGTCAGATTTGTAATCACCTTTTTTCTAATCAAGCTGCGAAGTCAAGAAGTCAAGACGTAGAAAGAGATAATATTCCGATAATCCCTGGATTGCTCCTTGCGTCAATCTAAGTGCCTTGTGTAAAGGTAACCACCATGCGCGATCTCGTCAAATTCTCAAAAGATGACATCGCTCAACCGCTCAACCAATTGCAGGAGCGCTCGCATATCCACTCCCTCTTCAAAGACCAAAACGCCGACACCTAAGAAACAAAGTCATGGGTATAATATAATCATGAGAAACATAAATCGGTCGTCCGTCGTTGGTTTACCGCTCATCACATAACAACGCATCCCTTCTTCTTCTTCCCTTCAGCCTTCTTCTCTCCAACAAGGACACCATCCATCCTGGAACTGCGCCCAGTACCTCCACTCCTACCAATGAGATCGCCCACACTCTGCGACGCCCTATGCACGCCACCTTGTGGTGGCCCGTAGTAACTCCCATAAGGATGGTTGTACTGCGCACTTTGATCTGTCCTCGGCGGCGCACTGATGGGGAATCTTTGACCGGCTGAGTACTGTTGGTCTGGGGCAGCCAGAGGTGGCAGAGTGTTCCTTGACTGACTTGAATTGTTGACTGGCGGTGCAGGATAGGGCATGCTCATGCGTGGGCTGCTCATGGGTAGAGGACGGCGCGGAACTGCTATGTTTGGAGCCGAGCCGCGGCGGGAGGCTGGAATACTGGGGACGGGTGGAGCGTAGAGGTCGAGATTATCGTGAGGAACGCGTTGAGTGCGCCCATTTGTGGGACGGCGGGTGGGCATGTGGGAAGCGGTGTTCGGGTATGCGGATTGGGGTTGCGGCAAGGCTACATACGACATTTGTTCCGATGGTGATCGGGTACTTGATCGCCTCCGTCGTATCGAGCCAGAAGATTGGGGGCTGGGGTATGTGGATGGATGCAGCAGAGATGGGCGACGCCCTGGGTCGGCAGCTGGAGGTGATGATACGTCGACGGAAGATATCGATTGTTGGCGCTGATGGTAAGGGTGCGACGGAGACATTTGGGAGGGGTTAATGGTTGCGGACATGTTTGGTAGTGGAGGAACGGGCGGTATGGAAGATGATGAATGAGTATGAGGTAATCGAGGTACAGGGGGCGCATCCGGATGGCTCAGGCTGACACTCTCTGCTGCTGCTGCGGTGGTCGTATATGCTGGCGGAGGTGGCACCCAGTTGTCGGCGTCACTTTCGTGTGGCAGCTCTCGATGACCGTCTGCACGACGGTACTCCAGGGGTCTGAAAGGCAAAGCGCGCAGATGCCGACGGTTCGCAGGTGATACGGCAGCGACGGTGGCAGCCCTAGCTAGTGACATCTGAGATCGAGGTTGCTGATTATCATAGGGAGCTTCAAACATTGCCTGTGCCTCTTCCGGTGTCAACTCCTCCGACTCATCTGAAGGCAGTGGTGGTCTTGGCGCATTCCGGTTCGCAGAAGTACGCGCCCGCTGAACAGGCGTGGTTCCAATTCTCGATGGTCTTCGTGCAACACTGTCATTTCGATCCTGGGCTCTGCGCTGTGCCATGGTCCTGGTTCGTACCAATTCCACCTCGCGATCAAAGTCAATCAAGCCTTCCGGTAGCATCTCGCCTGGACAAAGGGGGTCTAAGTCGTATTCAGTCTTGAGCGGCGTCGGTGGAGCGCTTCCCAGGGGCTTTGTCTTGTCGAAATCCAGGACGATCAGAACGCCCTTGGACCCCAGTGGCGCCCCAGGCACATCGTTCTCATCGGGTAGTATGCTCGAGTTGCCAACCGCTACAAGTCGCTGCACGTTGGCGTTCAGCCTAACCCATCTGAGCACGCATATTTCCTGCAAAGTACCTGCATTGTCGTTCGGAATAGGGATGCAAAAGCAAGGCTGAATCGGGGCATCCACCTTGGCTTTTTCGCTCGGCTTGTACTCCCAACCTGGTACTTCGTAGATCCAGATATTGGTGGTACCACGCATCCGCAGGGCCACAGCTGCAAGGTCAGCATTGGGAGAGACGGCAGGCATGGCATCGTCGACAAATTCCGAGCGCGTCCACCTCGCGTGATCCGGTAGGAACATCTTCCTCTGTGTGAAGCGTTGGCATGCAATGTCATAGATGCCCCATGAGTCCTCCTCGGCATTGAACGCGAAGAGTTCGTTGAACGTCCCGGTGTCGGCATCTGGAAGCAGGGTAGCTTGGCGTGCTATCCTTGCCGTCTCAGGAAACAGCACCGAGCCAGTCCATGCAGCTTCCGGCGGTTGTGGGATTGGTTCACCCTCTTCTGTAAGCGGACCATCGTAGAGACCTGGCAGGACGAACAACGCCGAGCCATCCGACTTCCTCGCATACCCCGTTATGAGCAGTGTGCGACCATCGTCCGAGAACTCCAATGCATCACCGGCGGGCCCAGAAAGCGTACGCCGTGTCGTCTCAGGTACTTCTGGCCCAATGGCAATAACTTCGATGCCGAATTTGTTGCCCGTAATTAAGATGCGCGCGTCCGGTGATATGACGATAGAGCTAGCCTCGTGCACCAGCATGATGGTCCGCCTCTTCTTGATCTGATTATCGCCCTCGCCGTGTATCTCGTATAGATCAACCTGTGAAGGTCTCGATAGCACGGCCAATAGAAAGCCATCTTCAGTAATGTCGATTGCGACGGGCTTGCGCTTGACCTGCAGTGTCCTGGCCCATAGTCGCGGCAGCTGCACGGTCTTGACCAAGAACAGATTCGACGCCGAGTATACCGCAACATATCCACCTTTGCGTGACACATTGACATCGAAGCTATCAGGGAGCGCGGACGAGGACGCAGTGTTGGAGACGAGTTCGAGGAGGGTAAGGCTGGGGGCCGCATAGGACGGAGTGGCAATGGGCGTATCGTCATTCGGCCGATCGTCGTAGGTAGTGGCGGATGTCATAGCCGTCGAGTGGTCTGACGAGGAGATAGTGTCGGTGTTAGCAATCGACGACGCAGAGAGCAGCGTATTCACGTGCTCGTAGCCCTCCGAGTCTTCAGAGCTGACGGACGTGGTGCGCGCGCGCTCGTCGTAGGCCGCCCGTTTTCTGTGAGCGCTGCCCTCATCGCTGGCGAAAGCGACGCCCTTCCCCCTCCCTTCCGTTGTGGGCGCCGTGCTGTCGAGTTGCGCTCCCGAGGTGTGATGGTGTGAAGGCCTCCCCACCATGGTAAGCCTGATCGCGCCTTCCTTGCGTGGGCAGATGTGGTAAGAGCGGGTGCGAAGAGCGTCAAGTGGGCGTCGGATGCGGCTCCATGAGGGTGCCTGTGGTCGCTTGGGTCGTCTTCAGCTGGGACCTTAGCAACATGGGAGCATTGCGATTACTAGTAAGGCAGCTTGGAATGTAGAGGTGTCTAGCAGGCGCTATTGCTGCAGCCAGACACGCTCGGCCAGGGTCACGTTCCTCGTTCAAGCCTGGCCTATACCCGATCTGCCGCTAACTCCTAGTCCGCTCCCATGCTCCGATGCTATTAACAGCAACACACGGCGCACACAGTCGCCTCGCCCTTTCGTATCCGATAATCCTGCAAAATCTCTATCTACTCCCTACTGACCGCCATGTCGGCCATGCAAGATGCAACACGCCGTGGTCTCCGGTGCGACCTTGACTTGTTTCGCGACACGCTGTCACATCTGTCCACCCTGGATAGCGCCATGCGACATTGTGGAGGCTGAGCTGTTCTGGCGGACCGCCTTTGGGGCCTGGCTAACTGAGGCTAACACGCTGGCGAATCGTGGAGAGCTGGTTGCCCTAGTCGCGCCCTGACGCTTGCAGCAGCGAAACGCGAGAGGGCTGGTGGGGCAGACAACTGTCGCTACACCCCCTGCAAGGCCATCCTTCACCTCTCGCTATAGGGCAGTATGTCGCCGTTTGGGTGTGGTAGTAGTACAGCGTCTTCTGCCTGCAGCAGTGTGCCTTTCAAGGTTACAATCACCGACGTCGAGTTGGGTCCTCCAATTTCCGCTACTTGCGCACTCCGAAAGCGGAGAACAGTCTTGGAGGGTATACTTTCTTCCACTGGCTGTGAGATTGTCGTATGCGATACTGCAAGTAGAAGCTGATGATGATATAAGATTACATCTCATGTACGCCGTGTACGCCGTGTAAATTGCTTACTAGGTAGTAGATCTCGCTCGTGACCTCCTTACCGTCAGCGGCACATCATCGTTGCCGGACGCCACTACGACTGGAATAGCAGATCGCGCATCCTCAGCTCTGGTTAAGCCGGGCGAACGACGCTGGGAGTACAATCGGATACATTTGCATGATAAGATAACTGGGACCGAGCATACAAACATTCCGCTGTGAAGCAACACTCCGATGATCGTGGAATCAATGCCTGCCTAGGTTCTTCACACCATACAGGCTTTCCACTTGGCAAGACATGGCGCATGTCCGATAGTCTCCCTAGCTCGGTGTTTTTCTTTTTGGTGTGAACGTGAGGAATATACAATGATGCTGCTATGTGACATCGTATCTCGTCCTTCGGGTGCCGAGTGTGTATGGCAGAAGTTCTGGATCCTATCTTTTCCAACTCTTCCTATGTATATGAAGCATACACCTATCGTGATATAAGATATAATATCCGCAGGGTTTACAAGTCCCTTCCACTCGTTTGCGCAAATGGTCGCAAGTGAATCATAACGCGAGCGTCCATCTTCGTACGGAATTCGATGTCTGTTCATCAGAACATTAGCCAGCCGAGGTGATATGAGCCTCCAAAACTGTCTACGACCAAAGAACGCATCATGTTACATGTGCTAGAGGCCTCGTTTGCCGTGAGGGGACGTTGCGCGTGCCAATGCTTGTGCGATGTTCGTGATGTGAAGATCGATCAATTCGGCGTCTGAGTGCTGGCCGGGGAGAGCGCACGCAGCTCCTCGATGCAGCAATGGCAGGCGAGTGTGACTAACAATCTTCTGTGACTTGGTTTAGCGACGTCTTACACTCGCTTGGAAGGCTCATAATGGGTTGAAGTTTTGTAGTTAGCATAGCTTTGTAACTCGGTGGCTGGAGTAGAGTTTGAGTGCGTAGGACAGCCTCCGGCATGAATACAGAGGATTGGGAGCCAAGATGAGCGCAATGGTGCCAACCAGTTCGAAAGCGTCGTGTCATGGAATGAAGCCGATTCGGCGCTGCGTGAAGCTCCACGAGGTGCGAATTCCAGAAACTGGTTGGCGGCATCGCCGGAAAGCGCCTCGGTGCCACATGCAATTGTCGAATTAGTCATTGGTGATTACCTAGGTAGGGTCCAAGGCTACCACGATTGCGCCGCCACCCGCGATCGCGCTCGGAATCGCGCCCGTCGCTAACTACATCGTCTTTACCATCATCCCAATCTCGCTTTCGCCAAATTATCGCCAAATACCTGCGCGGAGAAACTTGAAATGGAATTAGCCTGCATACATGCAGCCCCTCCGGACTTATATTCGGCGCTCGACGTCAAGTCTTTAGCCTGATACAGTACAAATGATCGACCCGAAGAGCGACTAACGGTCGGGGCAATGCGACGTTGCGTCTGAATATTCAAACTCTGACAAAATGATCCTCAAAGGCTACATTTTCAGAAGTTGGATCGAATGTTCTTTCGCACACCTTCATGAGAAAGTCGGCCAATCGAGACGTGGAAAAAGTTGCTAAGTTTCACTACCACAGCTAGCACCACTATGCCGACCAACATCTTGGTGTGATCGACATACCCAACTGCGAGCCCCTGCAGCGGAAGAACGATCACCTTCAGCCTACATCGTCAGGCACACGACCTAACATGCCTGAAAATTTTACAACGACATGAACACCGCGTGCTCATTGGTACAACCGCGCGTTTCCGACAATTGGCTTTGAACCCAACCTGCCACGACATGGCCCTAAAGTATATCGCAAGCTATGATCGGTGTCATTTGGGTCTGCGCTCGAAGTTTATTACCAGAGTGTGCCCCACGCCACCATGGGCCATGCTTGTTGAAGCTTGACATACTCCTAATATACTCCGCGGTTCCGCTCGATCCACTGTCTGCCTGAAATGAGCATCAATGCCCCGTCACTCGCAAACGACATGTTGACAGGAGAGTTATGGCAACACCACCACCACCAGATCCTCACTTGATTCCCGCGCCTCCTTCAGCGGCAGCGCTGAGGAGCGGGAAGTCCATTGCCGGTGCGACGCTGGCCCTTCAAAGCATCGCTCTGATCGTCTTTGGAGCGCGCATGTGGTCACGATGGATGCCTGTATACCGAATGCAGTGGGACGATTACACCTGCGCTTTGGCATGGGTAAGTAGCAGCTCGTGTTCTCTAATATACTCACGATATCGGGTCGACTGACAGGATCAGGTTTTGATAGTGGTCAACACATGTCTTCTCCTTGCCGCCACGCCGTATGCTTTCGGGCTCCCACCAGACGAGTTCTTCCTGTCAGACGCGCAAGCTGCAACCAGATTAGCGTCTATCTCTCAACCAATCTGGGGGTGGTCTATGGCCTTGGTCAAGATATCCTTCTCCCTGATGCTTCTTCGGATCTCTCCCTCGAGATTCATGAAGCGCTTCCTCTGGTCCATGATCGGTCTGCAGATCGTACTTGCGATCTACAACACACTAGCAACACTACTGCAATGTATACCGGTCGAGAAAGCATGGGATTTACTCGGTACAGTAGAAGGCCATTGCTGGAGCAGGACGGGAGTCAGGATAAGCTCGATCACCGTCTCCGTCGTCCATATTCTCACCGACTTCATACTCGCCCTTCTTCCCGTATCCTTCCTTCGTGGAATCCAGCGCCCTGTTCGCGAACGCGTTATCGTCGGCGCACTCATGGGACTCGGCTTCTTCACGGGTGTGGCATCGATCTTGAAGATTATCGCTGCTATGAACTTCGGCAAGACGGGCGACCCGATGAACGAAAGCATCATTGTCGGCATGTGGTCCGCTATCGAGGAGCTCGTGGGTTTCATCGTCATTTGCGTACCGACTCTACGCTCGCCATTCCAACATGTACTGCGTTACCTCGGCGTCGCCAGTGTTCGTATCAAGAACAACGCGTTCTCCCGCGGCTACGGGCGTACACAAGAGTCGGAGGTCAACAGGGACAACTTCCGAAATCACAGCCAGAGTCGCCTTGCTACTGTCGAAGGAGACGAAGAGTCCGGTTTCAAATTGAAGGAGCTGCACACGGAGGAGTCGAAGAGATCGTCGGACGAGATGCATTGGCGCGCGAATGAGAGAAATACAGGTAATGGCGAGATATGGTGCACGCATGAGGTCGTGGTTCAGCGAACCTCTCTTAGCGGAAGGCCGTCGCTTGATCAAGCTCATGAAGGCGCGGATGCGCCTTGGAAGGGCGAACCATTGGAGTTTGACTTGGGCATGGCAAGCAGGCACTTAAGTCGTTGATGAGGAGAGCATTGATCACATGAGGGAAAGATAGCAGACGTCTGTTTGTTTATTCCAAGCGAGTGTACGAGCTACATGAGAAAAACGAATGTATAATACCCCCACAAACATTTCACACCATGAAATACAGAGGACGACCGGCCAAGTGAGAATCCAAGGTGTTGAACCACGTTCTCAATAGGTACGAATCGCACTTAGTTGCGTCCAGGCAAGCTGCGGCCCCTGAGACTAAAGCGGTTGGAGTTGATCTGCTCAGCGTTGACATCAATTCCGTCACAGCGCAACTTGCGATAGCCTTCCAGCCGATCGACGGTCAGGCCACACGTCAGGAATGCCGCGGGGAACGGATAGCACTTTCCAACAGGCACATCATTCGTATCGACCAAATCGCCACCATTGCGGTCGCGGTAGTAAGCTAGATTGCGCAAGCGTATGTTAGCCTCTCACTTCCCCTTTCTATCGCACATCAGGGATAGGAGGACACTTACTCCAGTGATAGCCCTCGAAATTCATCTCCAGAATCTCAATGTTGGCAGGATCATCATCGTCAGAGCGGCCGCAGCCGTCGCCTTCGCAGCGGACGCCACGGCCACTCGCGTCGTCGGTGTCGGGCCATATCCAATTTAGCACAGTGTCGCAGTTGGCTTCATCCTGGTAGACTTGCCAGCCTTCGACGTTCTCCGTGATGCCGTTGCCGCCGATGCCTACGCGGTAGATTTCGAAGTCGGCGGTGACGGCGCTCAGGAGTGAGGCTGTTGCCGCGAGGGTGGTGAGGAGG